CTGCCCCCTCTAGAACACCGCAGCCACCTGGAAAGCCATGGGGAACAGTTGGGGCTTTTTATAATCTTTATTTGTTAACAGTTCAGGCTATTTTTTTTCCATGCTTGCAAGAGATGCCAAGGCCTCATGAAAAAGTTGTGAAAAAAAAAAAAAAACAAGTCTATTTTGGGGTGATCAGCCTCCTCTGAGCTTCTCACTTGCAGCTCTGCGGGGCTCCAGGAACGAGCCTGTCCTCTCTCAAAAGGTCTGCAGCTTGCCTGAAGTGAAGGATCTTGGGCCTTGGATGCACTGGCCAAGGGGATGCATTTTTGCCCCCCGGCTTGTAATGTTTCTGTCTACAAAGCCCGGCAGAAGTAATACTATGTAGCTTCTTTCTGCAGGAGGCCTTCCTCATGGCGGCTCCCAGTGTACTGTCCTGGGAAGTAACAGCCCAGGAGACTTGGGGTGGGGCATCATGCATCTCCCCTGTGGCATTAATGGTGGTGGTACCTGCAGCTCTTCAAAGATACAAGCCAAAAAGCGCTTGGGTATCTCTGCTGAGCGAAGAGAGACTGCAGGGCCTCTGCATGGAGGCCCCAGCTCACTGTGGCTCCTGAGGATTCTCATTTGCTCTCCCTTCACTGTCTCACCGGCTTGTTCATTTACTCATGGGGCGCCAGGGCCAAGGTGGGCATGGGGTTTTCCAACCCTGGTAGGTCAGACTTTCAGAACTCCGCACCCTCTGTGCTGACTACTCGCCATAGGCAGCCCAGGTGGCCGGGGCACAGATGGGAGATGGGTCCCCCTTGACCCAGTGGGCATAAGTCCACGAGGGGGAGAAAGGCAGAAAAGAAGGAAGAGTGAGAGGGATCACACCGTCTCTGATCTCGGCCCAGGAAGCAGTCATGAGAAGATCATCTGGTCACCCCCTGTCTTCAGGCAAGTCGTGTTATTATCCCAGTGGAAGACCAGAAAGATTAGGTTCCTTGCCCGAAGTCACACAGCCAGTTCCTGGTGGAGGAGAGACTAGAACTGAGGTTGGTGCCAATTACTGCAATGGCTGCTCCTCTGTTTTGGTTTCTTTTTACTCCGGGCTCTTGGGGCTCTTGTTGTCCACATCCCTGCCCACTAGGCTTGGGGGGGGAGGTGCGGGGCTGCTCTTGCCTTAGCTTTCTTCTGCCTCATTGTCCCCTGTCCCTGGAGGCTTGTCACAGAGATGCCCCTCCATTACCCTTTCATTGCCTAGTATCAACTGATTCCAGAGGAATCCACCAGGCCTCTTCAAGCCCTTCCTTCATCATTCCCTCTCTCTCCTGAAGTTCTAAAATTTTCTTTGGTTGAACTGGTCCCAAGACTGTGATTAACCTTTTAAGGAAGCTAAAGATGGGGATCTCTGCCTCTTACTATGTGTCTAATCCCTTCCCACTCTTCCCCAGATATTTCCTTCTTCCATTCTCAGCCTTGGTGGCCATCCACTCATCTTCTGCTGGGTCTAGTTTGGATCAGGAGCTTCTTCAGTGAAAAGGATGGCCAATAAAATATAGACCTTCCATGCTAGAAACCCAGAGTAGATATCCGTGCTGGATAAGCTGGACCCCACCCTTGTACAGGAGAAAACAGGCCCAGAGAGGAGAGAGAATTGCCCACTGTCACCCACCTTGGCGAGGACAGAATCCAGGCCTCCTGATGGAACAATGACTGCTCTTTTCAAATTATGAAGTTCAGAAAGGTGCAAATGCCTGCAACATGGTTCTTGACCCTTAAGGAGCCCCTTGACTCCCTAAGGTGGACTCTGTTTTGGCCTCCAGGCTGAGCATTTCAGCCCTGTGGGCCTGGGCAGCAGGAGCCACGCTCTTGCCCTGAGCAGACCCTCTGTTTGGGCTGACTGAGCTGGTGGCATATCTTTGGGTAACTCACAGTGTGTTTATTCCTTCTCTGTCTTCCCCTGACCTGCCCCATTCACTTCTGTCCAGCCCCATGGGAACCTGGAGGGAACACAGAGCCATGGCAAGCCAAAGACAAGGCCGGTACAGCCTGTGGAAGACCTCTCTGGACAGCATGTGAGTAGCCACTGGGTGGTGTCAACTCCCTCCTCCCCAAGATCCCCACCCAAACATTCATTCATCCATCAAGCGTTTATTGAGCTCCCGTTGAGTACTGGTTGCCAGACCAGGAAGAAGGAAAGTCAACTAAGCATGGTCCCTTCCCCAAACAGTTCTCAGGACTGTGAAGAAGAGAGAGACCCAATGACAGAGCAGGGTGATTGGTATTATTAGGGGTGCACAAAAGAAGGGCAGGGAACCTTGCCAACTTTGTACGGGGTATTCCTGGTGGGCTTCCTGGAAGAAGTGACATCTAGGCTGAGACTTGAAAGATGAGTAAGCATTATCTTCACCCCATGTGAAGGGGTGGGAAGAGCAATGTTCTGACATAACTGTTTGAGAAAAGGCCCAGAAGGGTTCTGTCTCTTATGAAGACCTGATGGTGCCCCTTGAGTCCTAGACCTGGAGGCTGAGAGATTCTAGACTTTCCAGATTTGGCTCCTTCAACCTGACAGAGCTCTGCATTTTGAGATACCTCTGCTTCTGCTCTCAGCTGGTACCAGGCACAGCGTGGCAATGCCACGTGTCCCAGACCACATGCTGCTCTCCTAGGGGAGAGGGGCAGGGTTTTGTGTCAGAAGGCTTGTGGGGTGGGCTTGGTCAAGTGTAGAGAAAAGAGAGATTAGGAAGCTGCCAAGAGGAGATAAGCTGGAATCGTGTGTGAAACAAATGGAATGTGCAGGTTGGAGGAGGACACACTGAGAGAGGTCTGCATAGCTTGGGCGGCACTGGGCAGGAGCCTTCGAGATCAGGGAGAGGAGGGCTTGTGGTGCTGGCTGTGCGAACCTGCCACATAGGTGCTCTCTTGAGGACCGGGTTGGAGAGTTTTCTCCCCAGATGAGACCTCCTGCTCACAGTCTTCAGGAAAGTGGCAGCTCATGATGTCCTTGACGAGAGTGGATATGGGCATCATTGGAAGGGGTGCCTTTTGGGAAGAGGTTCAAGGGGTTTACATCACTGGGAAGGAGGAATCACGAGAAGGCTTTTCTGAGGGAAGAGAGGCTCTGACTGGGAATGCCTGAGAGGTGATGTGATCAGGAAGAACTCTGGTTTGAAGAAAAGCTGAAAAAGGATTGTGTGCCAAAAGCGGCACTGGGAATTAAGTTGTTGTCCCGCAGCGGAGCACCTGGCTCTCTCTGCCTGAGACAGTTTACCCAATGTGAGCAGGGGGTGAACTTCATTTTGCCAAACTTACACCTTTGAACCCCAACAGTGCAGCCTGGTTGGGCAGTGAGTTTCTCAGGCTGAGCTGGCTCTTTCCCCAGAGACTCCATAGAAGTAGACCTGGAAGCCCCACGATTTGGGGCAGTTCTGTTTCCCTGCTTTGTGCTGTCCTGGGGCCATCCCCGCTGCTGGGTTGTGTGAAAGTTGAAGCAAACAGTCGAGGGCTCTGGAGCTGGCTGGGGGCAACTGGGTATCAGTGGGACAGGCTATGGCCTCCTGGCACACCCATGCAGAGATGTCATGCTATGGTTCTCTCTGGGGCAGTGACCTGTGGCACACAGAGGATAGGCTGAGGCTCTTCAATACCAAATATGTGGGAAGGACACACCTGTCCTTTTTTCCCCCATGCATGTATTCAAACCAATACATTCTGTTCTTATGGAAATCGATTCCTAACCAGAAGGGTGAAGCGGCACACTCAGTCATCCCTAACCTCTTTTCCAGCTCTAGGCAGGTTCAGAAGGAGGTGGGGGAAGCATTCTCCACTAATCAGGCACTTCTTGAACATGCACCAGGCCAGAAAGCACATTTATCACGAGCACCTTAATGGTCAACTTCCAATTACATGCATTCATAGATGGAAAGCGTACTTCAGAGAATACAAAATTCATTTTTATTTGGCTTTTGGGGGGCAATGCATTTCTCTTCCTAATTATATTTTTGCATAAACTAGCATTAAGCTGGATTTGCATTCTCAGAGCACAAGCTTGAGGGGGTTAGGTGGAACGCATGTCAGTCTGGGCTTAAAAAATTGTCCAGAGGTAACTGACAAGATAGATAAAACCAGACTGAGCTGGCTACTGTAATTACCAGTAGTCAAGATCATCAGAATCAAAGTAGCCTTGAACATGGAAACTTCTTTTGAGGACTGCTCCTTTACAGATGTCATCCCTTATAACCTCTTTGTTTTACAGGGGAGTAAATCGAGACAGGGAGCCCCAAAGTGTCTTAGACTCCGTCTCCAGGGCTAGTGTCTTCATGGCATTTCTTTTAAGAGGCCGGAAGATGCTGGTAAACTCCAGGCTAGGCCGGGTGTGGGATGGAAGCAGAGACTGCTGAAGAGGGAGGGAGGGGGAGAAGGCCTAGATGGGCGAAGGTACAGGTGACAGAGTGACCCACTCTAAAACTCCTGGCACAGGTTGTAGCTGAAGGGCTGGTGATCAAGGAAGGAAGGCCCGCAGGTGCCAGGAAAACTCTCAAGCCAGAGGAGGGCCTGTGTGAAAAGGCTGTGTTCCTCTCCCCGGGGGGCCAGGGGTGGAGGCCTGGGTTTAAGGGGGAAGGAAAATATGTCACATTCTCCTCCCCCGACTCGCATCCCTTCCAGGGCTAAGATGCGTCTCGGAGTTCTTACTCAGCCTCCTGGAGGAAAGGGGAAAACCCTGTGTGAGTCCAGCGAGGTCTTGCGCCTTGCCAGGTAAAGGGAGGAGACCCACCACCGGTGGTGAGCCGAGACCCTCCCAGCTTCGTCCCTCCGGGCTGGGGGAAGGGAGGGCGGGCGGGAGGGAGTGAGCAGCGCCGCAGGGCGGGGCCGGGGTCGGGCCCGCCGGTCGCCCTATCCCCTTCTTTCCCCGCCCCTTCCCCGCCCCCAGACCCCTTTCCACCAACGGAGCCCCGCGGTGGGCGGAGCCTGTCGCGGCCGCCGGCCTGGGTGCGATATTTGCTCCCCGTTCTTCCTCCCAGTCTTTCTTTTTTTTTTTTTTTCCCTTTCCTTTTTTTGTGAATGAAAACGGGAGGTCGCGCGCGGTCCCCGGGACTGCAGCGCTAGGCGTCTTCGCGGCCGCGCCTTCGGAGCGGGCCGGGCGCGTAGCGGCGGCGGCCTCGCCCCTCTCCTCCCCAACTGCGCGTCGCCTCCAGCCTCCGCAGCCAGAGGACCGGCGGCGGCGCGGCCCAGCCGCGCGAGGTCGGCGCCCGCGCGCAGCCCACTCCAGCGTGCCTCCATGACATTGGGCGCCCGGGGCGCGGGGAGATGCTGATCCGGAAGAGGCAATGGCTGCAGTGCCGCGCGCGCGGCCGCTCCCGGCCCGCCGTCCGGCCTGGGCTGCTCTGTCAGAGTCTCTGATCTAGCGCGACCCGGGCCCGGAGCCTGTAGCAGCGGCGGCGGCAGCGGCGGCGGCGGCAGCAGCGGCAGCGGCGGCGGCGGCAGCAGCGGCGGCGGCGACGCCGGCATCGACCTAACTTGCACGCGCGGAGTGACCCCAGACATTTCACTAAAATGAGCGTGCTTAGCAGGAAGAGATGTGTTCCTTACACTAGAAATTACCCCGTCACATGTAGTGGTGTAAGTAAATGATTAATTTCTATTAAGGCCGGGTTGCAAGCTGCCTGGAAACGCGCCGCTTCGCCCTCCTGTGCCCTCCCCGGCCCTATCTGCGCCCCTTCTGAGGACTTCCCCAGCCACCACCACCCCTCTCCCCTTGGCTATAGCTTTGGCTGCTGGGGTCTCAGGAGGCGGGGGACTAACCTTCTCTGGGTTTTTCTAGGGAAAAGAAGATGACTTGATTGCCTTGGCATGTCGTGGCCCTCCTGTTTCCTCATTTAAAAAAAAAAATTTTTATTTCGTGTGTGTGTGTGCGTGTGTGTGTGTGCGTGTGCAGAGCAGCGTGTCAGGAATAAAGGTCCAGAGTGGTGGAAATGTTTCTGTTGAAAACCAATGGAATTTGGGTGTTTTGCTCGCCGTTCCGGAGAGATTTCTTTCAGCCCAACTCCGTTGCAATGTGTGCATCAGAGTTCTGGCAAACTATGGGAGAGATGCTTAGTGTTGTTTGTTGATGTTTGAGAAGGTTCTTTTTGTGTGTTTGGGTTTGCATTTTTTGTTCATATGATCATTCAAGATCCCTTTGAGCCTTGCGGTCCACTGGATCTGCAGGAGGGATTCATCTCTCCGCCTTCCCCAATATTACAATGTCAGCCAGCCCTGCAAAAAGCCACCCTCTCTGGTCTTCTCTTCCCGATTCCCCCTTCCTCTCCATCCTCCTCGATTTTTACCTTCATTTTGAGGATATTCCTCTTTTGCATTTTGTGAGATGCAGGATGTGGGATATTGGTTGCTAGGAGACAAAGCAGGCTCCCAGGGAGATTCTGTCGTTTCCTTGACAACCAGACTAGGGCAGCCACAGATGAACAACCTCCTATCAGCTGTGGGAGGGAAAGGGGGGTTTTTCTGGGCGCTGCAAAGAGTGTGTGTAGGGGTGTGGGGGTGGGAATGGTACCCGTTGAGGGTTGTAGCTAATTTGAGCAGACCTGGGTTTTTGGCCTGGCCTGAGTGCACAGAGCTGGGAGAACAGTGGGCCGGAGGCTGATTGTGGACAGGGGGACAGGGATCATGGGACAGGGTGGGGAGGGAGCATCTATGTGACTCTGGGATCACTGAGGGAGAGGAATGAATTGGAGATTGTCATTCCCGGGGCAGGATGGCCAGGAAGCCATAGTGTATGGAGGTTTGTCTAGAGGCTCAGAACGAATGAGGATGAGGCAATTGTGCGGAAAAGTCTAGAGTCATTGAAGGAGAGAGTGCCAGAAGGGAAGGGGAAGTTGAGAAGCTCATTGAGCCGGTTGTATCACCATACATCAGCAAGGATACAGTAAAGTAGCAATATTCTAAAGCAAAAATTATATTACTGCCTGCTTTGGCACGCTATCTCCAGTCCAGGATCCTCGTGTAAGACAGGCCTGTTTCGACTGAAGAGTTTTGCCTGCTGGCTTAATTGGGCCAGGCTGTATCTTAAAGAGAGATAGAATTACATATATAGATATGTAATCTAGCATTATATAATACCAGATTACATAAGAAGACAAATGCCTCCTTTCTGCCCAGGCTCTCTTGGCACAAATTTACCAAGATTCGGGAAACTTTCTTCCAAAGCTCTCAAACCCATTTTCCAGAAGGGCAGACTGATGCCCAGAGAAGCAAATTGACTTGCCCTTTCCTAGATCTGAAGTTTCCTAGATCTGAAGTCAGGCGGTTGGGACAGGGGTGGGGTGGGTGTGAATGATAAAAATAGGGAGGGAAGTCCAAGGACAAGCAGGGGAGGGCTGTGGAGAACTGAAGAGTGGATGGGAAGGGGCTGCTCAGCCAGAGGAGCCCCAGCAGGGCTGCTGTCCAAACCCCTGGCACTGTTTGTTACCTTCCTACTTGTTGGTTGGCTCTCTCTTCCTTCAACACAGAGGCACATGAGCTGTGCAGGGGTATTTTAATCATAAACTCTCTGATTTTGAAGCAGCATTGATCTACTAGTGTTCTGGCATCCTCTTCACGGTCCACATGCTCCTGGATTTACAAACTGACGCCCCTCTTCCTCCGTCTCCTCATTGCCCCTTCTGCTTCCACACTCACAGGCCATTCGAATCTGAATTTGAGAAGGAGGTTCTACTGGCCAGTGGGTATAGTCTTTCTCCTCCAGCTCTCCATATTCGTACTGAGGAGACTGTTTTGTTCTTCAGCATATATAGGAGACTACAGCCCAGGTGATTTCTTCACAGTTGCCTGACTCGAGACCAAGAGCCATCGAAGTGGGGTTCCTGGTCCTCAGCTCAGGAGAGAGCAGGGAGGAGGCAAGACGGTGGTTAGGACATGCCCCTCCAGGGAGGGTGAGGAGGGTAGAGGAGACCAGAGGAATCCTGCAGACAATTGCTCTGGAGACGGGGCGGCGGGGGGGCTGCAAGGAGACCCCTTGTTGTTTGGAGTTCAGATCCTGTAAAATTCCAAAAAGGAGGAGGTGCTTGTCTCATTGAAAAGTCCTTGCTGCACTTTTTGCTTAGGTTGCTAAGATGTACCTACTCGGCAAATCCCAGTTGCCATGTTACTTGGGTATTTCAGTTCTGCATTCCTGCATGCTGGCTTCCAGTTACAGCCCGGCAGGAACAGAGTTGCTCAGCACTGCTGGTGGCCCTGGATCTCTGGCTGGATGGCTCAGCAGTGAGGGCTCCTCCAGCACCCTTAGGAGCTCAGCCTTCCTGGGCCTAGGAAGGGGTCCTCCAGGCCGCTCCAGCCCCCCGCTGACTTAATGCACACAGGGAGTGAGGAGGGCAGGAGCAGGCCCACGACCTAGGTGAAACCAAGTTCCCTACCAGTGTCTGCCTTGCACCTACCCCTACCTCTTCCCCTCAACCCTTTCAGGATGCCACCGGGGGACTGCTCCCGAAAGTCCCTTGGCCCTCTAGCTGAGGGTCCCTTCCTGGTGACAGCTTTTTAAACACTGACATGACATTTCAACTACAGAAGGACTCTCTGTTCATTTGAGCCATCCCCCTCTGTGGGTGGACAGGGTACTCCCTCTCTGCTCAGCACAGAGGGAAACTGAGGCAAGCATTTGCCCAGAAATTCAGGCCCCGGCTTCTTACCCTCTGCTTCCCCCAGCAGCCCCATCACCCATGCAGCCAACTGAGTGAGCAGCCTTCCAGGAATGCCAGGGGTCTGGGGGTTTCAGCTTGAGAATCCTGTCCCTAGGAATGGGAAGTTCTGAAGGGGGAAGTGGGGGGGCGTATCTCACTCTCCCTGGGGCTGCATGCAGGATGGTTAGAGGGCATGCCTGAGTAGGGGCGGGAAGGCCCATTGGCCATGGAGTGAATAAGTCACAGGCCTCTTTATCTCTACTGCCATCTCAAAACTCGGCCTGCAGCTGAGTGAGCCCTCCAGGCAGCGTGACTGGCTCAGAGGAGGGGAGGGGATGCCCTGGGCTGCTCAGGTGCCTCCAGAGGGACTGGGAGGAAAAATTCTGGCATCTCCCTGAAGGAGGCTGGGGGTGGGGGTGGGGAGAGGACACTAGCGTTGAAGGGTAGCCGTAGGCAAGCTAGGGCTTGAAAATCCACCACCAGGGAGGGAGGGAGGCAGAGGTAGAGGGCAAGAGAGCTGCCCCCCAGCTCTGACAAGTCCATTAAATTTTAAAGTGGCCCTGCCCTCCGGCATGCTGGGAAGGGGTGGGGACCTGGCCGGGACTCTGCATCTCTCTGCTGTTTGTTGTTCTGCTGCCCAGAGGAGGAGAGTGTGGGCGAGGAGTGAGCCTCCCAGGCGGCTGTCCTTTTCCTGGGAGAGTGGGGACAGGCCCGGGGCAGGTTCTGCGGCGGGATCTCTCACAGGCCTCCCCCAGCCAGAAGTCCGGTGGGAGGATGGTGGCAACAGAAGGCCCACGAGCGGTTCACGTGGTGCAGCCACTCCTTGCAGCCTGAATGGGCCCCCAGCTTCTCAGGCCCCACAGAACGAGCGCCCGGAAAGCTACACTCCCTTCGCCCCCTCTCCACTCAGATGCTGGCTGAGGAGAGCCGCTGGCCTCGGCCCTCGGGGAGCTGGTGAGCGGAGCTGTCCTGACCACGACGCTCCTCTCCCTCAGGTCCCAATTAATGGATTCTGACATGGATTATGAAAGGCCAAACGTAGAGACCATCAAGTGCGTTGTGGTGGGAGACAACGCGGTGGGCAAGACCAGGCTCATCTGTGCCCGGGCCTGCAATGCTACCCTCACCCAGTACCAGCTGCTCGCCACCCATGTGCCCACGGTTTGGGCCATCGACCAGTATCGGGTGTGCCAGGAGGTAAGGCTGCAAGGCCGCTCGGCTGGGGGTCCGCCCTGTGTGTTTGGGCTTCTTCCCAAGGCACAGCTCAGTGTGTGCAAACACGGCCAGCCCGCCTGTGCCGAGCTCACGAGCTCACTAGCTCACTCACGGAGGCCCCTGGGGATATGGTGGGGGCAGCTGAAGAGGAAGGAGCCCCAGAAGAGAGGACCCCACCCCAGGGGAAGCCCTGGGGAAGGATCCTTCCACCCCAGGGGAAGGATCCTGAACCATTTGTGTTTTGCATGGCTGAGCTGGTGCCCGAGACCCAGGCTTTGCTTAGAGCGGGCATCTTGTGCAATCACAGCCTCCGGTAATGGGGAGGTGTTGGAGAGATGAGGGCAGAGAGGAAGAAAGAAGCTGTTGGCCAGTACCAAAACCAGAGGCAAATGAAGCGGGGAACAGGGCAGGCCCCCTGAGATCCCTTCCACCCCAGGACAGTCTGCCCTCTCCGAGGCTCTTCGCTTCTGGCAAGCTTCGAGCCCACTCCTGCTGTTGGGTCTGCAGAGATGGCACCCAGACAGGGACGTGCTGGGCACGGCACACAGAGGGAGCTGCCTGGACCCTAGCCAGCTCTGTCCCTCCACCCCCATGCTGTCTGGGACCCCCAGGGATGAGCCGGCTCTACCCTGAGCTGACATGCAGAGGCCCCTAGAACCATCGCCCCTGATTCCCACTCCTCTCCCTCCCTGCCACACCCCACAGGTGCTGGAACGCTCCAGAGATGTGGTAGATGATGTCAGCGTCTCCCTCCGCCTCTGGGACACCTTTGGAGACCACCACAAAGACCGTCGCTTTGCTTATGGGAGGTGGGTAATGCCTTTGGGGAGCCAGGCGGATGGGTCTCCCCTGCTTTCCCAGGGAAGAGCAAGGCTGGGAAATTTCAGCTGGGTGGAGGGAGCAGAGAAGGCAGCTCAGCAGACCTCATGGACGGGGTGGCGGGGAGGCAGCCCGGGGCCGTGGAAGGAGCCGACTTTGGAGTCAGGAGTCTTGGTTGGACTCTCAGCCTTGCTACCTGTCAGCTCTGTGACTAGGCACAGTTAGGGGAACTGTTCTGAATTGATCTTCCTCAGCCATGGATTGTAAAGTGGTGATTTCTAACCCATAAGATAGCCATGAGGTCAAAAGGAGGGTTTCGAAAGCTCTAAAATGCTGAATTAGAGGTCTGTAAATTAGGGGTCCTGTTAGTATACGTTCTGTGAGCGGATGCCTATGACCAATGTGGGACGTAGTGTAGGGTGGGGTGGGTATGTGTGTTCGTCCTTGTTCCCAGGGCAGGCAGCTGACCACCAGCTTTCCCTGCCTGTAACCCCACTCTCCCACCCCCAGATCCGATGTGGTGGTTCTATGCTTCTCCATTGCCAACCCCAATTCCCTCCACCATGTCAAGACCATGTGGTATCCAGAAATCAAGCACTTCTGCCCCCGAGCACCTGTCATCTTGGTGGGGTGCCAGCTGGACCTGCGCTATGCGGACCTGGAGGCTGTCAATAGGGCCAGGCGACCCTTGGCTAGGTAGGGGATGCCATTGCTAAGGGAGGGGGAAGGAGGAAGACAGAGGGAGGGGGTGCATCTCCATGGCTCCCTGTTCAGCCCTGACAGTCTACTCGGACTCACACCTCACCCTTGATTTGAAGCAAGCCATGCGGGGGCCCAAAGAGTGTCCACTCATTCATTCATTCACCCATCCATCCATGCATCCATGCATCTGTTGTACCCTTTGTGGGCAATCCTGGGCTGAGCACCATGGGAGGGAAGGAGAAAATGTGGTAGTCTTTGCATGAAAGGGGCTTATGAACACACTGGAAGATGAACTCCATACATGGCTGTGTTAAAAACCAGCGTGGAACACTGCATGTTAATTGCCAGAGAGGGAGGTGGTGCTGCCACTGCTTTGAGCTGGGGAGGGCGGGTGGCTGGCATAAATACTGAAGGCTTCCTGCAAGAGGAGGGCTTGGAAGTGGGCCTTAAAGGACTGGTAAGATTTGACTAAACAGAGGAGAAAGGGCAGGAATCAGACAGAGACAGATCCTGAGCCTTCCCCTGAAGAACAGGCAGGCTCTGGAGAGCTGCCTCTCCCTACCTCTCCCCTCTTCTCTTTCCCCGCAACATGTTTGGTTTTCCTTCTTGAACCTGCCAGGCCCATCAAGCCCAATGAGATCCTTCCCCCAGAGAAGGGTCGGGAGGTGGCCAAGGAGCTGGGCATCCCCTACTATGAGACCAGCGTGGTGGCCCAGTTTGGCATCAAGGACGTCTTTGACAATGCCATCCGCGCCGCGCTCATCTCCCGCCGCCACCTGCAGTTCTGGAAATCCCACCTCCGCAACGTGCAGCGGCCTCTGCTGCAGGCGCCCTTCTTGCCTCCCAAGCCGCCTCCCCCCATCATCGTGGTGCCCGATCCCCCCTCCAACAGCGAGGAGTGCCCCGCCCACCTCCTGGAGGACCCGCTGTGCGCGGATGTCATACTGGTGCTGCAGGAGCGGGTGCGCATCTTTGCCCACAAGATCTACCTCTCCACCTCCTCCTCCAAGTTCTACGACCTGTTCCTCATGGACCTGAGTGAGGGGGAGCTGGGGGGCCCCTCGGGGCCCGGGGGCCCCCGCCCAGAGGACCACCGGGGTCACCCCGATCACCACCACCACCATCACCACCACCACCATGGCCGGGACTTCCTGCTACGGGCGGCCAGCTTTGACGTATGCGAGAGCGTGGAGGAGGGCGGGGGCTCGGGGCCCGCTGGGCTCCGTGCCTCCACCAGTGATGGGATCTTACGTGGCAATGGAACAGGTTATCTGCCTGGGAGGGGCCGGGTACTATCTTCCTGGAGCCGAGCTTTTGTGAGCATCCAGGAGGAAATGGCAGAAGATCCTCTGACCTACAAGTCCCGGCTGATGGTGGTGGTAAAGATGGACAACTCCATCCAGCCGGGGCCCTTCCGGGCTGTTCTGAAGTACCTGTACACCGGGGAGCTGGACGAAAATGAGCGCGACCTCATGCACATCGCCCACATTGCCGAACTTCTTGAGGTCTTTGATCTGCGCATGATGGTGGCCAACATTCTCAACAACGAGGCCTTCATGAACCAAGAGATCACTAAGGCCTTCCATGTCCGCCGGACTAACCGGGTGAAGGAGTGCTTGGCAAAAGGCACCTTTTCAGGTATGGACTGTGCTCAGGAAGCAACTGCCGGAGGGCAGGGCCCTTCCCTCCCATTAGCCTTCGGGAGAGTCCAGGTTGTTCCCCTCAGCATTCTGAGTCATCTCAGCTGCTGATGTCCTGGAGATATGGTGGCCCTGCTCCTGAAGCCTCGTCCCCAAGCCCGAGAACGTGGTCATGTTGCACTCTCCATGAGCGGCTTCAGAAGGAAGTGGGCTGTCTGGGCACAGTGTCGGTCTTTGGGGTGGGTTCTCCCTCATTCTTTCACCACATCCTCACAGGATGCCTCTTCTCCCTGACAGATGTGACCTTCATCCTGGACGATGGCACCATCAGTGCCCATAAGCCCCTGTTGATTTCCAGCTGTGACTGGATGGCCGCCATGTTTGGGGGACCATTCGTGGAGAGTTCCACCAGGGAGGTAAGGCTAGGAGGGAAACAGGTGGGAAGGAGAAAGAGATCTTCACCCTTCCCGCCTGAGGCATCTGCCATTTTTACTGGTACTTCCTTCAGCGGTGACTGCGTGCTTGCCCACCGCAGAGTGCCAGACTCAAGACAAGTTTATGAACTAGGTCCCATAGCCAAGGATCTTACGATATTTCAAGACGGGGGGATCATAGTGACATCTTCACTTCATGGTGTAGAAAGCCACTTTGATATATTGTCTCATATCTCACCTCACACACAACTTCTACACATGGCTTTATGAGGAAGGATGAATCCATCACTGTTTTAAATGTAGGTCTTACTATTACTTAGGTACAGTGAAGCCCACAGATCGGGAGAAAATTGCCATTGGGCAGAGAGATTTTTGTACTGTCAGGCATAGGGGGCCAAACAGGGAAGCACCAGGGTCAGTCTGGAGGCAGAGGGAACAAAGGGAACAGCCAACAGGAGTCATCACTGCATTTTCTATGTGAAGGAATGAGTGAGGCAGGGTGAGCAGGCTTAGGACTGGCCAGTCTGAAAAATTTCAGCAGGCTTTGGGGCTGTCCCAAATGGTCTGGTGCCTGGCCTTGGGGTGACTAGGGCAGGGGAGAGTGGCTGAGAGAGGGAGCCTGATAAAGAAGATGGCTGGGGTGTGGACTGGGTTTGGTTTGTTTGCACGTGAAAGGCATGCTGACTGCCCCCTTTCCCAAGGCTATGATCGGCTAACCCTGGGAGGGACAGCCCCTCATGGGATCAGCATGGCCCCAGATGTCAAAGCAGCAGAAGACAATTTAAAAAAAAAAGCTTCATTCACCTTTCCCTCTAATCAGCGCTGCTCCAACCCGACTGTTCTGTCACTGTTGCGGCCACTTTCTCAGGCACTGAGACTGGCAACTCGGAGCTGGAAGGGGCATGTCAGTGCATCCTTAGAAATATTCTTTCACTCTGTTCTGTCCTTTCCCTTCTCGCGGCCAAGCAGGGTAGCTCAGGCTGAGGCCCTTGTTTTGTCTCTTTTCCTTGAACTCCTATATTGTTGGTTGTCCGCGGTCAGCCTCACAGTTCCCAAGGTCCAACTTTGTGCAACTGCCTGAGGTTCTGAGGGTCTGCATGTTGTTTCCTCACCTGGTCGGGGATTCCTCTCCTCCCCACCTCTCCCCAGCCCCACTCCGTGCTGGTCCGTTAGTAAGAGCTCACCAAACACTTGAGGAAAAGATGGGAGGACAAACAACACAGGAAAGTCTCCTGTGACATAGAATAACAGTTTCTTTTTTCTTTTTTTTTTTTTTAGATTTTTATTTATTTGACAGAGAGAGATCACAAGTAGGCAGGCAGAGAGGGGGAAGTAGGCTTCCTGCTGAGCAGAGACCCTCCGCCGCTCCATGCAGGACTCAATCCGGGGACCCTGAGATCATGACCTGAGCCTAAGGCAGAGGCTTAACCCACTGAGTCACCCCGGTGCCCTTAGAATAACAGTTTCTTAAGATTTCTGGGAACAAAGCCCTTCCGGAAGGCTCAATGGAGGGCTGAGCTATGAGCTGGTCTCTGATCCTGAAAGCATGAGTGGATTTGGCTTCTGTGAGTGTGAGACGAGGCGCTCCCTGGAGCCCGAGGGGCTGGCCCGCCCTAGGCACTTCTCGGTACCATAGAAGCAGCCTTAAAGCTCCAGATGACTCCCATGCAGCCCGGAGAGACTCGTGTCTGATGAGAAAGCAGTTTCTGTTGCAGTACTGCTCAGAAGAGATCCCGGGGGCCCAGAGCAGCAGCTGTAGGCAGCCAGGGAGAAGCCAGCTGGGGTTGGCTTTGCTCCTTTCATAGCCCTCTTGCACTGCCCTCTGCAAGGCCAGGAGGGGGTCCCAGGGTGGGTTTAGGGGGCAAGAAGCACTCCTTGAGACATCTTGCAAGCCAGCACGGCTTTGGAAGCATGCCAGTGAGAATCCAGGTCCTTTGATTTATTTATTAAATATGTATTTATTTAGAGAGAGAGAGGGAGAGGGAGTGCACACAGTGAACCTGGGGAGGAGCAGAGGGAGAGGGAGAGAGTCTCCAGCAAACTCCCCACTGAGCGAGCGTGGAGCCCGATCTCACGACTCTGAGATCACGACTTCCGCCGAACTTGAGAGTCTGACGCTCTACCCACTGAGCCACCCAGGCGCCCTGAAAAACAACCCTTTGAAATGTCAGAGTGCCGCTGACTGGGGTGGTCAGCACACGGGCTTGGTGCAGGTTTTGCCTTGGGAGACAGGCCTCGGGGGGCCTTCGGAGCTGGTACAAGGGCGGCTCAGGGACAGCTGCCTATCCGGGGGAGCCAGCATTTTGAGTTTCCCCAGCCTGAGCTCGTCCTTCCGTGCAGCTGGGCCTTCCTGGGGCCTTGTGTCTCCCTTCCCCACAGGTGGTGTTCCCGTACACAAGCAAGAGCTGCATGAGGGCCGTGCTGGAGTACCTCTACACAGGCATGTTCACCTCCAGCCCCGACCTGGATGACATGAAGCTCATCATCCTGGCCAACCGCCTCTGCCTGCCGCACCTGGTTGCCCTCACAGGTACACAGGGACCCCTCTGGGGGAGAAGCCCGGGAAACCCACCTCCCCGAGGTCCTGATGTCTCCTCTCACCTGCCTTCCTCCAGGGGACAGGCTGCAAGCAGCAGGGGACGATGTCGACATAAAGGGAAATATGTTGATGAGCACTGGGATTTGGGTGAGGACAGAGACGTAAAGAAGCGCATGTGAGAGGCAGGATGGTGTCACGTGATGGGCTCTCCGCAAAGGGCTCTGAGCCCCAAAGAGTGGTCTCCAATAGACAACAGCGCTGGTGTTCTGTCTGCTTGGCCGCAGTGGGGCGAGCTGAAGTTGAGAGGAATTGAATGCCGTTCTCATTGCTCCCCTTTGGTTCTCCTCCTCCTCCTCTGCCTTCTTTCCTCTTCCTTCTCTTCCTTCTACTCTGCTTCTTTCTTCTTCCAAAAGCAGACAATAAACATTGACCCGTCACTCCTAGGTCCTTGAAAAGCCTGGGAGAGGGTGAGAGGCGGAGGGCAGCTTTTAGATCGGGCCACCTGCAGAGGCCCTGGGAAGCCACAGGGAAACCAAGCAGCAGGCAAGGAGGGGCAGGTCAGGGGCCCAAGCGGCTGGAGAAGAGGAATGGTGCCATCCAGATGAAGGGAGTCTGGGGCCAGCGACGCGGGCAGGCAAAAGGCTCCCGCTGATGTTGGAATTGGTCTTTGCATGGTGTTGGTGCTGGTCCCCGTGCTGCTGTTGATATCGGGGTCTGTGTTCTTGGGCAGGTCAGGGCACATAGAGCAGGGCCTTAGATACTGAGTTGGGATTCATTGAAAGACCTAGCATGAGAGCTGCTGGGGCTCCGGACCCATGATCAAGACCGAGACTCACATAGGAGGAAATCAGCAATACCATGATGAGAAATTAGTTATTTATTTGTTTTTGTTTTTGTTTTTGTTTTTAAGGATTTATTTATTTTTTTTTTTTTTGACAAAGAGAGAGAGATCACAAGTAGGCAGAGGCAGGCAGAGAGAGAGACAGGGAAGCAGGCTCTCCGCCGAGCAGAGAGCCCTACGCGGGGCTTGACCCCAGAACCCTAAGATCACGACCTGAGTCGAAGGCAGACACTCAACGATGGATCCATCCAGGCACCCCAAGAAATTAGTTTTAAGTTGGGGCTTGGTCATAGGAAGATTGAAGAAATCATTGATCAGAATTTGAATGTGAAGAGCTGAGCCTACAGAAAGAGTCCAGGGGCCCTAGTTGGAGACACAGAGGGCTTTAGGGTGGGGAGCAAGAGAGAGGCTTCTAGAGATCACAGCTGAAACTGTATGTCCACCAGAGCTGCCTCTGGAAGGTGGTGTGTTCTTCACAGAGCACAGACAACTTCCAAACTCTTGGACTGACTATTTCAACTTTTGAAAGACTGTCTCCAAAGAAATGACCCAAAGGCAAAATACATATAAAGATGTTTCTGTAAGTTTGCTTTATCACAGTGGGTGATCAGAAACAAGTCAGCTGTCACAAATGTTCAGCTGCACCGCTGTGTGGAGAAGCTTATAGAAAATACCCACTGAAGGACTTTTCCTGGGCAACGGTCCTTCCGCACTACGAAGCACGCAGACGTAGGTCGTGCACGTACCTTGTCAAGGATCGGCAGGAAATGCTGAGCATGGTATAATTGGTGATGCTCTAGGTTTTGGGAGATAGGCTTTCTATTAAGTTACTGATTCAAGCTTTTTTCCCCTTGCAATTTATCTATTGGAAAAAACCCACTGATGTTCCAGAAAAATCTAGATTTTTCTCTGATTGGCCATTGGGTCTAGGGGCTAGATCAGATTCATATTCAATTTTCTTTTGCTCAAACTACTTCTTAGGTTATTCCAGTTCTGTTTTGTTTTAAGATTTTATTTTTAAGTAATCTCTATACCCAGTGTGGGTCTTGAACTCACCACCCCGAGATCAGGGGTCGTGTGCTCCACCAACTGAACCAGCCAGGCGCCCCATTTCTGGTTTTCATCCAGAAGCCCTGTCTCTTTTTGCGATCTTTTTGTGATGTTAGCAGCCACTGAGCATCATTGCCTGGATCCATTGGTTTATGAGGCATAAAGTGATAATATTCCAATTCGGTCATTCCTTATCTTTTGGACTACTCTGAAAAAGAGCAGCTTCCCCTCACCTGATTGTTGCTTACCCAGTGCTTTGGTTCGTATAGGATGAATGCTTGGTTGTATCCTTTCATTTACTCGTTTTCGAGATTCATTTTTTTCCCTTCACCCTTTGAGGGTGCCTGATTAGTTTTTGCTTTTAAGTATTACTACAAACATACTCAATTGGTTTCAAATAATCACAGTCATCTTCCTTGAAACTGAAATACCACACTGCACCTTTTGCCAGCAGTAGTCTCTTCAAGCTGGCACCAGAGTGAGCTTTCTGGTTATGTGGTATAACAAGATGTTCCTGGTTCATTTTTTTTTTTTTTTATTTCCTGGTTCATTTTATACATCTCCTGCCCCAAACCTCGAATCGGTCACTTCTCTAAGAAGTCTGTTTCTTATAGTTGGGCATGGTATTTCAAGGCTGTAATCTGAGCACTAGGGATGCACATTACTACTGTATTGTTTCTGGAGCTGGGAAATAGATTTTGAAGTTTGTTTATTTGAGAGGGAGAGAGAGAGAGAGAGAGCACATTAGGCGGGGAGCAGGAGGAGAGGAAGAGAGAGAATCTTAAGCAGGTTCCATCCCCAGTGCAGAGACTGACGCGGAGCTCAATCTCATGACCCTGAGATCATGACCTGAGCCAAAATCAAGAGTCAGATGCTTAACCGACTGAGCCACCCGGGCGCCCCCGTGAAGATAAAATGCCTCATGAGTTTATACTGATACAATCAAACTTCAGGATTAAAAGCATTTACTTCTTTAATGTAAATGTTTTAAAATAAAATGTAAGGTTTGTTCGCAATTTGTGGTCAAATTTCAATGAACACAAATAGCTAGACTCACTCCATAGTTGTAATTCACAGTTCTCAGCAATCCCGAGTTACACCCTCTCCCGTCAGTACCAACGGCTGGTTCTGCCTAGGGCTTTCACCCTCCATATACCAGACCACTAGGTACAGCGGATGCACAGAACAGTTCTCCTACATGGTTCTAACTAATATCTACCTCCGCTTCCCATCCCCACTCTACTGGGAAAGTCCTGCTGTAATCCCAGTTTCCCCACTGGTGGAGCAGACTTCAGTCACGTGTGGGCTTTCCTGGCCTGCTGGGACTTGCCACTGGCCCTCCTCTCTCTCTGCCCTGCAGTGGAGCCTGGCCGGAGGGATAGGTGAGGGCATGTCCATTCATGTGACTCTTCAGCTGATTCCTGACTGTGTGTGTCACAGAGCAGTACACAGTGACCGGGCTGATGGAAGCAACGCAGATGATGGTGGACATTGACGGGGACGTCCTCGTGTTCCTAGAACTGGCTCAGGTATGATGGCAAGGGAACGCCTCTCACCAGCATTCTTTTTTTTTTTTTTTCAATATTTTTATTTATTCATTTGAGAAAGAGAGAGACAGAAAGAGCACAGGCAGAGTTGAGGGAGAAACAGACTCCCCACGGAGCTCGGAGCCCGACGTGGGGCTCGATCCCAGGACCTGGATCATGACCTGAGCTGAAGGCAGATGCTTAACCATCTGAGCCACCCAGGCACTGCTCTCTCCAGCATTCTTGACTCTGGGCCCTGTCTGCCCACTGGTAGTGACTGACGAAGGCTGGCAGGTGGTGGGTAGGAAGGGAGCCTGCTGTTAGACTTGGTTCCCGGATTGAGCAGGGCCCATCTCACGCCAAGAGGAGAGGCTGGCCATGGTGGGAAGGTCTTGAGGCATCGTAGGACCGTAGGGCAGGGGACAGAAGCCCAGTCTTGTGTGTAAACGTGGTTGCAGCATGCCTGAGGTCATTGAGGACTCTTCACCTAAAAGGAGCTGCCCACTTCCTTATTCCCAAGCAGATAAGCAACGCGTCCCACACGGCCCTTCAAGTGCAGAATTTTGCCCCCAGAAGCCAGCTTCTGAAGCAGACGTTGCGGCTTTGAGGCACGCAGACGCGGCTGGGGAAGTGGGCTCGCTAAGCCTGGCTGTCTGCCCCTCCGTGCAGGCCGCCTGGCGGGTGGAGGAGGACATCTGGTGGGGGGGATCTAAGGAGGACAGACACAGATGGAAGGCACCACACACATCTGTGGATTTCTGTGGGTGCTGGGGACAGGACCGCGGTGACGTGACAGTGGCGTTGGTGGGGCAAGGAGCAAATTCAGGGTTTTCTCACGCTGTAGTGTGGGTTTGCCTCCCGAGATGGGCTCATTACAGCTGCGGGGCTTTGCCCCTCTGCACGAAAGCTTTGGCTCTGCAGACAGCTGTGGGTTTCCATGCGGACCCCACACCCCAGGGCTCCAGCAGAGGTGCTCTTCTCTCTGTCCCTAGTTCCACTGCGCATACCAGTTGGCCGACTGGTGTCTTCACCACATCTGTACCAACTACAACAACGTGTGCCGCAAGTTCCCCCGAGACATGAAGGCCATGTCCCCAGGTGAGCATCTCCTGCAAGACCTGCCCGTGCTCCCCACCACCCCCCTGCCCCCCATGCTACAGGGCATCCAGAAGCGGCTGGAGATCCTGGGGCTGCACTTGAGCTCTTGGGTGGGGCGAGCAGCTGGCAAAGGTGTATCAGGCCAAACAGAGGGGATCCCGGGGAAACAGCAGGGCAGCTGGGGACCTCAGGTGATCCACTTTACCTCTCTGGGTGTCTGTTTCTCACAAGTACAAGAAGGTGTTGGACTCCTGGTATCTTTTTTTTTTTTTTTTTTTCCGGGGGTGGGAGTTTATTTTGGTATTTCAGACTTGGTATTTTTTTTTTTTTTCAGAGTTGGCATTTTTCAGACAGGACTCCACAATAAGAAATATATTTTGCTGTGAGCCAGTGCACACACATATAAAAACCATGTCTATTGTTTTTAATGCTGCTCATGATCCAACACATGGATTTCACAACCTAGAAATGGGCACAGCTTGTCCCACCCAGGTCCAGGTATCCTCTGAGGTCCCTGCGGTTCCACTTCTGCTTAATTAATGTCTCCAGTCCCGGGGCCCAGCAGGAACCGCACAGACTCCCGGGAGCAGTGTGGCAGCCTGCCCGAGTCCCTGCCACTCTGTGAGCCTCACGTCTTCACTGGGCACCCCACTGTCTCCTTTACCCCCCGTGGGCATTTTCTTTCCAAACCACAGCTCCAAGCGCACCACTGCACTGGTCTGAACCTTCCACACCTGCCTCGCCTTCTAGAATCAGTCCTAACCCCTCTACCTAGCCGTTCTGTCCAGGCTGACCTTCTTTGTCCTCCTGCAGCCCTCCTTCCCCCTCCCGCAGAAGCCAGCTCAGCCCCTCGTGGCCCTTCTCCCTCCTCACGCCCGGCCCCAGCCCAGTTCATTCCCAGCACAGTGAGGCCCATCCAGGCTGTCCCTCCATCAGGGAGCCCAGCAGAATGGAAGTGCCTTTCTCCGGCGCTGGTGCGGACTTTCTGGAAGAAGCTCTGTGGCTACACGGAGGGCTCTGACAGCAGGGCTGATACTCTGGCCCTGGGACTGGGCATGCCCTGGTTTGAGGCCCCCGGCGGGTCCCCAGGGCAGGGGCGTGGGGGTGGGGATGCCCTCCATGTCCCAGACTCCTTGTGCCCGTCTCCTGTCTGCTTTCTAACCAAGCCCTCCGGCATTGTGCCCCAGAAAACCAGGAGTACTTCGAGAAGCACCGGTGGCCGCCTGTCTGGTACCTGAAGGAAGAGGATCACTACCAGCGGGCACGGAAGGAGCGCGAGAAGGAGGACTATCTCCACCTGAAACGGCAGCCCAAGCGGCGGTGGCTGTTCTGGAACAGTCCCTCCTCTCCGTCCTCTTCTGCAGCCTCCTCGTCATCCCCATCTTCTTCCTCAGCTGTGGTCTGAGACGCTGCCACCCTCTTCTGACCCTGCTGCTCTTCCCCCCACTCGCCTTTGCCCCTCTGCTCTTCTGCACCGCCCCTCCACCTTCCAGGGACAAGGGGACCCACGTAACCTGGACCCCAAGGGCAGAGCTGTTCTCACCAGCTGACGTAGCTCAGCGAGAGAGGAGGGGGGCCTTGTGGATCAGTGCAGGGACCCCCTGCAGGGGACCCCAGTTCCAGAGCGGGGCGGGAGGCTGACAGCTGCAGGGAGGCGGGGGGCAGGGAGGGCGCAGAAGGCTCTGGCATGTGACTCTGGCGTGGAGAACGCTGGGGTCCATGGGAGACTCTCCCAGCCGGGAGGCTGTGTGGCTCGGTCTGTGGAGACCGCCCCCTCCCAGGCAGTGGCTGTGCACAGGGAGGGTCCTGTCTCTTGGCCACATTTTTCCATCCACGGACCTGAGGGTGGCAGATGTTTTGTGGGGCACCTACTCAGATCCTCGCTGGAGAGGTCAGGGTAGAAATGAAACTTTCAGACCCAACTCGAGGCTTCCACATCCTGGGGCGAAGCTGCCGAGGCCATGGGTGGGAAGGCTCGCGCTCGGCGGGCGGCCCTCCCTCCCCGGGTGGTGAGCATCCAGGCCTGAGCAAGGATGGCACAGCCTGTTCTGAGCTTTCGGTCTCGGAGCAGTGAGAAACTTCTCCCTCCCCGTGCTTACACTACTCAGATCCAGAGATGGGAACCGAAGGAGACAACTGGAACAGGAGGAGAGGAGAAAGTTGGGGGGGTGGTTTCTGGGTGCAGCAACCCCATGCTCTTCTGGGCTGCTCCCCCTGCCTCTGGTTAGCACGGCTTCTTAGCACGGTGGGGCAAGATTAGCAAAAAACAAACAAACAAACAAACAAACAGAAAAACCGAAATCCCAAACAGCAGCAAAATCACCCCAACAAAAACATGTTGGCTTCTATCCCCTCAAAGAAAAACAACAACAGGAAAAGACCCTGTAGAGCTTACAAACAGGGGCTTCCATGTTGAGGAGACAACAGTAGAGACTGTAAAATAATTCCAGAGCCTTCGGGAAAGGACTCGTTACCCACTGCAGCTGGGGATGCACAGGCCTTGCTGGCTGGCTCTGAGGATGGCACGAGTTCTGAGTGAGCACGCTGGGATCGAGGCTTCGGGGGCAGGGCCGGGGCTTCTCAGGGCTTGAACGTGGCATTGGACCCCAGCTTTGCCCATCACGAGAATCAGTTCTGGACTTCAGAGAGCGACTTGCCATTCCCAGAATGGGGGGAGGGGGTCAAAGATCAGGGGAAAGGGCAACGACTAGGAAGACAGAGGTCCCTGTAATGAAGGATCACAGGACATGAGCTCCCTTAGTGCTGGTTGGCGGGCAGGGGTTGAGCTGGGGGGGAGGAAAAGGAGAGACGTGAGCAGGGGCAAAGCAAAGTCAGCCCCAGGAAGAGGGGAACAAGACTAGAGGATTGTGGGGGATAAGACAGCAGCTTGTGACCCCATGGGGAAAAGCTGGGCCACATTTTACCTCTCCTGGTTTTGTGATCCTAACCCATATTTCACCCCCCACACGGTTATGTCAACTTAAAAGCCAGAGTCCCATGGATGATGGGTCCCATGGATGATGGCTGGGCTCTACCAGCAAGACCCAGGCTTCAGGTCTGGGGTCAGGCAAACCCGGAAACAGGAAAAGTTTGCAACAGTTTTGCAGAACAGAGATCTAGAGATTCGATGGTAAGTCCCCGGCAAGAGAAGAAGCAGGAGGTGACAGGCTGGGCAGGTCTGGGGTGGCTGCACCCCCTGATGTTTGTGCCATGGAGTTTTCCAAGGCGGGAAGTGTTTCTCCTTCTGGCCGGCTGGCAGGCCAGACATGTGCTCCTGCCTGCTGAGTTCTCATCCTCGGCTTCAGGGCAAGGCTGAGGAACCAACAGGCAAGGGCAGAAGGCCGCTCACAAGGGAGTGCAGCTCTGCACCCAGCACCCTCGCTCTGGGGAAGGGAGCCAGAGGTGGGGCCATGGTGTCTCCCAGGAACTCCTGGTGAGAGGGAGGGAGAGCAGAAACCTACAGTCCAGGGGGAGGGGGAATTGGGGGACGGAGCAGTGTGGCCCACTGATGAGGATGCAGAAAGGCCAAGGGGAGAGTCAGGGTGGTCTAGGAGGTGCAGGGAATCCATGGGAGAGGACCCACAGGACCATCCCAGCGACCAGAGTGGGCTCACCCCTCAGGGACCCAGTGCCCCTTACTAGCTACACTCTGGGGGTCCAGCAGGCCCCTGTGCAAGCCAGAGAGACCACCTGGAGAGGCTGTGTGGCAGCCAGGCCAGAGCTGGTGACCTCCCAGGAGAGAGGAAGGAGGAGGGCTGAATGCCAGTCCCCCAAGAACCTGGCATTTGGAAAGGCAGGGTGATAGGAAGGGCAAGTCACAAGAACACACACCTCTGTACTCGTGTCACTCAAGCTGCTTCAGAGGAGAATGGGAGGGTGGGGGAGGAAAAACACACACACCTCTTTTTATATAAGGTTTCATATTTAATTTGGTCATGAATTCATAAATACATGAGTATTTTGTACCTAATGGTCTGCCTCGTATTGTTTGATATGTCCCACAACCTCTCCAGAGGAGGCACCTTCCCCTGGGGAGAGGCATGAAAGGGCACCAATCGCCAGCGCAATGCTAAGTGCTTGCTGGGGGCCAAGTGTAGTCAGGACTGGATCGGCTCCATGCTCTGATGCAATCGACCTTAAATGAGGAAGCCTGACCAGCCCCGATAAGGCTAATACCGCAGACGGGCACTCTGAGAAGGAGTGCAGATACGCTGAAGGCCGACTGGCAAAAATTCACGGCTCCTTCTGAAGATGCAAGCGCCCCACATGCAAGGTGTGGCAGAGGCAGGAAACCCGGAGTCTTCCAGGAATAGGAAGGTTGGGGGGTGGGGGGGACCTCTGGAAGCAAGCGGGAGAGGGAGGGAAACAGCGAGGCCATGAGGATGTGCCCCCACCAGACTCCACTAGAACATCAACTCCCTGAACATACCTAAGTGTCCAGGCATTTGAACTGAGCCCTACCAGTCTGGGCACACACAGACCTTTGCACTGGGGAAGCCTGAAAACTCTGAGAATAAGCTCTATGCCATTATCCCGCCAAAACTGGGACATAGGTGTGGGAGGAGAGCTGCAGATGATGATGGGGCCAGAGGTCCATGTACGTGACCCACAATGCAATGGCACATGACATAGACCCTATCTGCCTCCTCAGCTCTGACTCATCTCCCACCCCCACCCAAGTCCATTATGTGACTGCCCCATTCAGGGGCACCTGCCCAAACACAGGGCTGCACAAGGACACCCCTTCTCTTCACTCTCCCTACTTGGAAACATCTGCCTATAAGTAATATAAATATTCGTACACCCATAAAGTTATCATGTTGGAAAGAGTGGGCACTTTTATAAGCTTCTGGCCATTGGATGCTGGAAAGCTCAAGCTGCGTATGAGGGAGAACCGCAAGCCACCCAGGCCACCCCTAGAGGCAGGTGTTTTCCTCTTCCCCCTTTGTGTTCCTACTCATTCTATGGTTTCCGGCTCCCATCCAGGTAACCCATGCAATCGAACTAAAAAACACATTTCAAAAGGTTCTACATGTTCATAGAAAAAATAGAGAAGTAGGAAGATGCACATCTTGTAGCATTAATGGTTAGATATAAGTAAAAGCACACACGCCAACTTGAGTGTGTCTTACAATATAACAAATACAAGTAAAAACTGCAATTCTGTTAGGATGAAGAAGTCTCATGAACTGAAAAGAATAACCCCCTAAAACAATTCTCGGTGCACATATGAACACATACAGGCACCTCAAACCTGACACAGCAGGTTTGCTTCCAGACCACCCCAACAAAGCAAATAGTACAATCAAGCGAGTCAAATGAATCCTTCGGTTTCCCAGTGCGCAAAAGTTATGTCTACACCACACTGTAGTCTGTTAAACGTGCAATAGCATTATGTTTTTTAAAACCATGTACTGAATTAAAATACACTTTATTGCTACAAACTGCTAACCATCATCTGAGCCTTCAGCGAGTCGTAGCCTTTTTGCTGGTGGGGGCTCTCGCCTCCATGCTGGTGGCGCTGACTGATCAGGGTGGTCGTTGCTGAAGGTGGGAATGGCTGTGGCAATTTCTTAAAATAAGACAACAGTGAAGTTGGCCGCAGGGATGGACTCTTGCTTTCAGGAATGACTTCTCTGTAGCACCCCAAACTGTTTGATGCATTTTACTCCCAGTAGAACTTCTTTCAAACCTAGAGCCGGTGCTCTCCAGCCTGCGGCCGCGGCTCTCTCGACTCTGTTCACACGACGCTCTCAACAGTCTTCCCCGCGTCCTCCCCAGGAGCAGATTCCATCTCAGGAAACCGCGTTCCCTGCTCACCCACAGCAGCAGCTCCTCATCTGTTATGTGATCATGAGAGGGGGGTCATTCGGTCCCATCCTCGGGCTCCACTTCCGGTTCCCGTTCTCTCGCCCTTTCCCCCACGTGTCTTCCCTGAAGTCGTGAACCCGCCACAGTCACCCGTGAAGGTTGCGATCAAGTTCTTCCAAATTCCGGTTCATGCTGATATTTTGACCTCTTCCCGGGAATCACGAATGTTCTTGATGGCACCTGGAACGGTGAATCCTTGCCAAGAGGCTTTCAGTTTACTTTGCCCAAATCCATCGGCAGAGTCACTACCCGTGGCAGCCACAGCCTTACACAAGGTATTTCTTAAATAGTAAGACTTGAGAGTCCAGTGATCCTCCATCCACGGGCTGCAGAATAGAGGCTGTGTTGGCAGAAAACGATCATCTCGTTCTACAGCTCCCTCAGAGCTCGTGCCCAACCATGCGCCTTGTCAGGGAGCAGTCGTGATGGGAAAAGGAGACTTTTTTCTGAGCGGTAGGTCTCAACAGTGGACTTAAAATATTCCAGAAACCATGTTGTAATCTAAAGAGCTTTCACTCAGGCTTCGTTGTCCCG